GGCAACGTTGCGGCGCGGCGCGCCGCGCCGGTTGGATCGGTGTATTTCTCAGGTAGGTTAGGAGGTGGGTGGAGGCGGCGGCGAGGCTTCTTTCACGTCAGGATAGTGAGCGATCGACCAAATCGCAGGTGAGTGGCTGCGACCGCGTACAATTTATTTATATAAACGCCGAGTCACCGGTTATTAATGAGGACCGCCGCCTCCTTCTGTCAGCGAAGACTGACGAGTTCCCTCGCGCCATCTCTGCCTCTGACGTTGTCCTATCGTGACGTGGCCTGGAATCTCTCGTCGCCTGGCTGTCGATTGATCGATATTCTACCGTACGAACAATTTTTGCGGAGAACGAATAATTCACCTAAACGTTTAACACTGTTTCAGCCTTCGACTGCTATCGGTCCAGGTCGCGTGTCAACCCTTTTACGGTGGATGTCTTTAATCGGTCGGAAATCGACAAAGTAGCGGACTACAGCGAGTAGAGGAGTTCTGGCTTTGAAAAATTCGTTCTACCACCCGCGCACCGTTCCCTTTCATTCTGTGTAGCCGCTTTTATTGCTCGGCAGCCTACAGGATACGCCGTGGAAGAAGTAGAGGGACACCTGCACCTGGCTTTTCGCTAACCATTGACGAGTTAAAATATGAAGGTCTCCGAGGACGTACCGAAACCAAGACACCTGGATTTAGCTGCCGGGATCAATGAGGAAACTCTCGACGGGAGGGTGAACACGGATCTCCTTCTTTAGGATTCCGTTTTTTGGAAAACGACCGAACCGACTAATGTGTCCCATGGGACTGCACGGATTTTCGAACGGAACAAACTCCTGGTATCTGCGCACGCTTCGGAAGCACCCTTTCCCTTCAACCGATTCGCCGTTCCGAGTTTTCTCCATAAATTAATTCAACTAATTTCCAAGAAGAACAAGTTACAGGACATGTGTGAAAATTCTCAGAAATGTATATACCTCGCGAAATTTCAGCCAGGCCAAAGAATGATACGACAGAATTTTTGCCTCGTAATATCCGGAATCGATTTTCTTAGTGACAACGCGAACGCATTCAAATACGTCACCGACGTGACGGTCCAGCTGGAACGACGAAAAATTGTTTTCCCGAAAATTTCACTTTTAGAAAAATTGTGTTCCGCCTAGACTGTTAATAAATTTGATCTTTATCCTATATTTCAAATCCTGTTTTCCCGATTTTTCCAACGCGGATAGCTTTACGGATTAAACGAACACCAAAGTTCTCTCCCTACTTTTATTTATTTTTAAACCGGCTACGCATCATTGCCGAACGGTGTTCTCGGGGGTGGTTCCGGCCACCGTGGCCGTCGAGTAAACTTTCAAAAGAAGCTGTGGGGTGTACAGTACCGAACGGGAGAGAGAGGAGCGGTTAAGAACCAGGTGTCACTCTACGTCTGTACAAAGAAGTGATGGATGTCTAGCGCTTCAACCCTCGTAACGTGTCACGATCTCACCTCAGGTGTCACTTTAGGTCCACGCCTCGTTATCTTTTCGATAGGGAAGAAGAAAAGCCGATTTTTTTTACCCGGGAAGTTGATGCGATCCCCTTCCCAATTTTTTTTTTATTTAATTCTGACTCTACCGCTTCTAATTTTACCGCTCGAGATTACCAGTATAATCTATCTTGTGTCATGAATCAAATTAATGCGATCACATTAATGTGTAATGTTCATTTAAAGATATACAAATGATAAAGGCGACCGCGGTCTTCTTTCATTCCGTTCCAAGAATTCGTGAAAATAGCTCAACGAAGGAGAAACCTTTCAATTATACGGTTTTTCCTTGAATTTTCGAAATTGACCAGAACCGATGAGGTTTCGATGGCTATTTCGGGGGTCGTGGGTACGACAAAGGTAGTCCATCTCCCGAAATTCCTCGGAAACTTAAAGTCTTCGAAGACCATTAGGTTCATCCTGACTACCTCTTGTTACGTTGCGGGTGAACGTTCGCGCGAATGTATTGTCGACCGGACTCTTCATTCGTATTGACGAAGGTTATGATGTTCGAGAAAAATAAACGGTACAAGATAGTTTATCTTAGAAACGAAGTGTTGTTTCGAAGCAGAAAAAGTGTCAACTCCGGATAAGAAGGACGAAGTCGCACCTGGATACATCTTCGAGTCATTTAAATCGTAGGTGGCGTGAAAATTGAATGGCCAAGGTGTGATCCGTAGAAAAGACCTTTCTTTGCGGTGTCGTCGCAGGAAGAAGTCCTGCGCGTGTTTCCTCGCACCTGGAGAATGGAGAACTCGTCTCAAAGTCGGATCTCGCTTTTCTTCTTCCGAACCACTCCTCCCTTTCATCTTTGTGCAGCCACGCGACTGTCCTGGCAAAGGGAGAATCAAGATGCGTTTAATTTATCGGCTCCCCGAGCTCTCTCTTTTTCCACGAAGTCGTAGTTTCGGTCGATTGGATTCATCTCGTGTACGCAACACGTTGCAAGGTATTTTGAAAACGTTCGTTTGCACGATACCCGCGTTT